AAGACCAATTTGAAGACTATTGTAAGTCATCTAGATGAGATGGTAGCAATTAATGTGGTAAGAAATTATTACATTCTTAGTACATCTTGGAGATAGTCAACAGAAATCAAGGATAGCTAAGGTTTTAGACCCGAGAACTAAAAGGATGGAGTTAGTTAACTAAGTTGGAAATGACTAAGGGTGGAATAAATCAGGAAAGCAGGGGTACACCTGGGAAGAATGCAGTTTAAAGGAGATAAATAGTGATCTCATTTTCATAAAACAAAAAGTATGGCCTGAAAACTATTTTTTTTTTTAAGAGGTTTTTGCTATAGGGCACGTGCACTCACCAGACAGAGAGCTAGAAAGCAAGAAATCACTCCCCAGGGGGGATGGCCACGCCGCAATCCCTTCTCCTCCGTTCTCTCGGGATCTTGGGCACGCATGCACACGCATCTGGCGTGAGTTTAAACCACTGGGTCTGGGACTCGAACCACGGTCATCTACGTGGGAGTCCAGCAACATAGCCATTATGCTAACTGCTGGTCCTAAGTTTCTCCCTTTTTTATGGGAGAGATTTTGGCTATAGGGCGCATGCGCTCGCCAGCCAGACAGAGACATAGAGACAGAAAGCGAGAAATCACCCCCCAGGGGGGATGGTCATGCCGCAGTCCCTTCTCCATTCTCCTCTCAGGATCCTGGGCACATACGCGCCCAGCATGAGTTTTAAGCCACCAGGTCCGGGACACGAACCGCAGTCGACTACGTGGGAGTCCAGCGACATAGCCATTACGCTAACTGCTGGTTCCTGAGTATCAACATAATTTTTGTAATTAGCATACCTATAATGAAAGGCAAGTCCAAAACTACTAACAGAATTGTACCTGCTTCAATTTACCTTGGAGGAATTCTGGAGAATAAATGCCTTATTGAGGATATGTTAAACTAAATACAAAGGTGTTACTAAAAGAAGGATATTAACTTATTTTCGGAGATGATGTGTACAAAAGGCAAAACAGGTACTGCACATTCCTGTCCATGACTTCTTTTTTAAAAAAATTATTATTTAATAGGACCAGCAGTTGGCGTAATGGCTACATTGCTGGACTCCCATGTAGTCAAGCGCTGTTCGAGTCCTTGACCTAGTGGCTTAAACTCACACAGGGTGCATGTGCGTGTGTGTGCCCAAGATCCCGAGAGGAGAATGGAAGAGAAGGAATTGTGGTGTGGCCATCCCCCATTGAGGGTGATTTCTCATGTTCTGTCTCTCTATCTCTCTCTGGAGAGAGCAAAAATCTTTTAAAAACCCTTATTATTTATTTTAGTTTGCTCTAGGGCTCCTGTGCTCTCACTCGAGAGAGAACATGAGAAATCACCCTGGGGAGGATGGGCATACTGCAGCTTCTTCTTTCTCCATTCAGGAATTTTTTTGGGCATACATGCACATATGCCTGGCATGCTTTTCAAGCCACCTAGTCTATATTCAGGACTCAGACTGTGAAGTCAGCCATGTGGGATCCAGTGTCATAACCACTATGCCATCTTCTGACCCTAATTTTTTTATTTTTATAAAGCAGAAATTACAGAATATTTTGCTATAGGGCATGTGTGCTTGCTGGAGAGAGACAGAGAGAAAGCAAGAAATCACCCCCCATGGGACCAGCAGATGGTGTAATGGCTGTGTCACTGGACTCCTATGTAGTCGACTGCAGTTCGAGTCCTGGACCTAGTGGCTCAAACGTGCTGGGTGTGTGTGCATACGTGCCCAAGATCCTAAGAGGAGAATGGAGGAGAAAGAATTGCTGCGTGGCCATCCCTCCCAGGGGCTGATTTCTCGCTTTCTGTCTGTCTTTCTGGTGAGTGCATGTGCCCTATAGCAAAAACCTCTCAGAAAAAAGAGAAAGAAATCAGCTCCCAGGGGGAATCGCCCTTCCACAATCACTTCTCCATTTTCCTCTTGGGATTTTGGGTATGCACGTGTGAACATGTGCCCAGTGTGTTTTAAGCCTCTAGGTTCAGGATTTGAACCACAGTTGACCACGTGGGAGTCCAACCCTTTACCACTACAGCACCTGCTGACCCAGAATTTTTTTTTTTTTTTAAACAGAGAACTCTACATTCCCTTTTGTTTTGAGAGAGGTTTTTGCTATAGGGCATGTGTGTTCACGGGATTGACAGAGACAGAGAGAAAGTGAGAAATCAACCCCCAGAGGGGATGGTCACAACGCAGTCCCTTCTCCATTTTCATCTCAGGATTTTCTGCACGCACATGTGCTTGATATGAATTTTAAGCCACTGGATCCGGGACTTGAACTGCAGTTAACTATGTGGGAGTCCAGCAGTATAACCATTTCACCATCTGCTGGTTTCAGTATTTATTTCCTTTGCCCCTCCCACCCACCCACTATCACCTACAATCCTCACATACAATCTGGTATCTCTTGGGTCATCAGAAAGTCATGTCACTTTTTTTTTTTTAATAATTATTTAATTTTATTTATCAGAATCATTATTATTTTAGTTGAACAGAGAGAGACAGAGCGAGGAAAATTGAGAAAGCAAGCTGCCAGGTCCGAGACTTGAACCATTCTTAGCCCATGTGGGAGTCCAGCACTTTAATCACCGTGTCACCTGCTGGCCCTGACATGTCACATTTTTTTATAGAAGAATATGTCGTGACTTTGCCAATGATCTAATAAATTTATCCTGTCTACTCTTTTGTCTAAATCTTGCTATTTCTACCAGAAAGGACAGACTTTAGGTACATGTTGAGTGAGGATATACAGTGTACGTCTTGCAAAGTCTGGCTCACTTCACCATGAGTACTTATTATTACACTTTTTGGCATCATAATTTAGATAGCTTCTTTTTTTTAAAGAATTATTTAACTTTATATATTTATTTTAATTTGAGCAGAGAGTGATAGAGCGAGAGAGAGAAACAGGGAAGTTAGAAAGCAAGCCAGCAGGTCTGGGACTTGAATCACAGTCGGCCATGTGGAAGTCCAGTGCCCTTAAACACCATGCCACCTGCTGGCCCCTAGAAATCTTCTTGTAGTTTTCAAATTTGGTAGAAATAGTGTCTGTGGGGCTATATTATTTGAAATTCCATTTTTCTAGAGAAAATAATTTGTAATCAATAGGTGATATCTTTGTTATAAAAATTCTTGAAATGTTTTACAGGTGATGATGAGCAGTCCACACAGATGGCTGCAAGTTGGGAAGATGAGAAAGTAACAGAAGCATCTTCAAACAGTTTTGTTGCTATTAAAATTGATACCAAAAGGTTTGCGTACATTTTAATATTTCATTACTCTTATTTTTTATTTGTAAAGAATTATTTTATTGAACATTTATTTATTTATTTATTTATTTAAATTTGACCAGAGAGGGACAGAGTAAAAGAGAGGGAAAGTGAGAAAGCAAGCCGCAGGGTCTGGTACTTGAACTCTGGTTGGCCATGTGGGAGTCCAACACTCTTAAACAACCCACCACCTGCTGGTCCCAATATTTCATTACTTTTTAATTTTATTGGGTCATCAGAAAAATCATGATGTATTTTTCTCTGATTTTCTATGCAAAAATGCATCCTAACTTTTCAGACAACCCAGGATAATCATGGTATTATGTTGGAGGTGGTGTGTATATGTTTTTTTTTTTACATTTTTTTCATAGGGTGTGTGTACTTTCCCAGGGCATGGGAGAAAGTGAGAAATCACCACTGGGTGGGGGGGCTTTTTCCATGCTACAGTTCATTCTCCATTCCTCCTCTGAATTTTGGGTACACACACACACAAACACATGTCTAGCATGATGTTTGAGCCACTAGATCTGGGACTCACACCACAGTTTGCCATATGAGAGTCTAGCACCTTAATCACACCATCTGCTGGTCCCCATGTGAGTGGTATTTTAGACAGGGACTTGCTGTGTTTCAGTTGTCCTGCTTCAGTCTCCCAAGTAGCTGGGATCACAGGCGTACACAACCACACCTGGCTTTCAGTATGGTCTCACTGTGTTGCCTTATTTGTCCTGCCTCAGCCTACTGAGTAGCTGTGACTACAGGCATGCACTACCACAACCAGCTTTTCTAGGTGGACCAGGAATGGAACTTGAGCCTCCTGTGTGACTTCAGCATTCTAAGCAGCAGCAAGTGCATGCTAGATGAATGGGCTAAATAAATCAGGGTCTTTGGTTATGATTTATGGCAATTCTCTTGGGCTATAAGAATGTTGTTGTTGGGACCAGCAGTTAGCGTAATAGCTATGTGGCTGAACTCCCATGTAGTGGAGCACGGTTTGAGTCCCGGACTCGGTGGCTTAAACTCAGGCCAGGCATGTGTGCGTGCGTGCCTAAGGTCCTGAGAGGAGAACGGAGGAGAAGGGATTGTGGCATGGCCATCCCCCCTGGGGGGTGATTTCTCGCTTTCTATCTCTCTGTCTGTCTTTGTCTTTCTGGAGAGTGCACACGCCCTATAGCAAAAACATCTCAAAAAAAAAAATGTTGATATTAACATTTTTGGACATGTAAGCACATTGGGAATATAAATTCTGACTGCTGTTTTCAAAATTTTCCTTTATGTCAAGCTGGAAAAAAATGTCAGATTCACCTAGTTTACCAAGCAGCTCTGTGACATGTACTTGGAATGCAAACAAAATTGATCTCCAGCTTCCAAAACCTTGGAAGTAACTGTAAATCATATATTGACTATCCCTGAAAGGTCAATCACTCTTTTGAATCTTATTTTTGGGGACTGAACAGTTTCAGTTAATAGGAATAAGGACATTTATAGATTCCTCATAGTACCTGATATCCATAGTGTGTTTTGTTTCTCCGTTCTTTTCCCTGCCTTTTAAAATAAATTCTTATTATAGGAAATTTTAAATATATATGAAAGTAATTGAGTAGTATAATGTAGTTACTTGCCAACCAGCAGGGATAATTACTAATCCATGACAACTTTGTTTCATTTATACTTCCACCTATTTCCACTCATATCCATGCACAAGTAAGTCATAGTCATTTTGTTGTCTTGTTATTGATTAGGATATTGTGTTCAGGTGACTTAACTTGCTGCTGAGGAAGCAACATGGCAGATACTAACTCCGTTTTTAGCCAACAGATCCATTACCAGCTTGTGGGTTGTAAGAACAAATAGTTCTTTAATTTGAAAATTATAAAACAGATAAACCAAAGGAAAAGTCTTATGAAATAAGAATTTACATTTTTTCCTTCAGCTGCATACTATCAAAGGAAATGGTAATTTCAGGAAAATATTTGTGATTGGTACAGTAAGTTTTATAAGACAACTCAGTATGGGGAAAACAATTTAATCTACTTAGTGATTTTTATGTTTGATTTTATTTTACAGTGAAGCCTGCCTGCAGTTTTCACAAATCTGTATCCTTTCAATGAAAATTTGGTCGTGTGTAATATATATATATATGTATATATGTATATATGTATATACATGTATGTATGTTTGTTTGATTATTTACCTTTTGGTTAATTCAGGCAAGTTAGAAATTATTCATTTTTATTTAGGAAATCATAAACTGTTGATTGTGGAAACTTCATTTACTAAGTGTCTTTTAATATAATACATTATAGCTAATGGAAGAATAGGGAGTTTTGTGTTTTTTTTTTTTTTTTTTAAAGAGAGATTTTTGCTATAGGGCACGTGTGATCGCTGGAGAAACAGTGACACAGAATGAGAGAAATCACTCCCTAGGGGCGTTGGCCACACCACAGCCCCTTCTCCATTCTCCTCTCGGGATCTTGGGCCTGTATGCACATGTGTCTAGCATTGAGTTTTTGTTTGTTTTTGTTTTTGCTATATGGTACATGCACTCACCAGAAAGAGAGAGACAGAAAGCGATAAATCACCCCTCATGGGGGATGGCCACAATGCTGTCCCTTTTCCTCCATTCTTCTCTTGGGATCCTTTTTCGTTTTTTTTTTTTTTTTTTTTTTGCTATAGGACATGTGTGCTTGCCAGACAGACAGACAGAGACAAAGAGACAGAAAACGAGAAATCGTCCCCCAGGGGGGATGGCCACTCCACAATCCCTTCTCCTCTGTTCTCCTCTCGGGATCTTGGGCACACACACACACACACACACACAAGCCCAGCGTGAGTTTTAAGCCACCGGGACCAGGACACGAACCACATTCGACTCCACGGGAGTCTAGTGACATAGCTAACTGCTGGTCCCTCCTCTTGGGATCTTGAGCACACATGCACACACGCCCAGCATGAGTTTAAGCCGCCAGGTCTGGGACTCGAACCGTGGTCGACTACATAGGTAGGGTCCAGCGACATAGCCATTACGCCAACTGCTGGTCCCATGGCATTGAGTTTTAAGCCACCAGGTCTAGGACTTTACCTGCAGGAGTCCAGCAACATAACCATTTGTTGGTCCCAGAATAGGGAGTTTTAAAAATGTAAATATCGGGACCAGCAGATGGTGTAATGGCTACGTTGCTGGACTCACATGTAGTCGACTGTGGTTCAAGTCCCGGACATGGTGGCCTAAACTCACACCAGGCACATGTGCATGTGTGCCCAAGATCCCGAGAGGAAAATGGAGAAGGGATTGCGGCGTGGCCATACACCTTGGCAGTGATTTCTCGTTTTCCTCTCTCTCTCTCTCTGGTGAACGTACGTGCCGTATGGCAAAAACTTCTCAAAAAAAAAAAAAAGTGAATATCTAAAAGCGATTTGGAGCAGTTTGGTTGAGATGTTATAAGTAATTGGCAAGACACATCTGATAGCAAGGTGGATATAAAAGGGTTATGGTAGAGGAGACTGTAGTAGATATTTTATACTCAGATATGCTTTGCAAATAAATTATAATTTATCACATGTAGTTTATACATAGTGATAATAGTAGTTGAAATAATTTTATAAACATGTTAGATTCTGTTGTGAAATTCACAACAGTATTTTGCTTTGTACTCAATAATGTTTCATGAAATACTCTTTTTGTTTCATATGAATTATTAGACTTAATTAAACCATACAGATCCTGTAGTGTGTGTTCCATCTAGTTTCTTTATTGGAGACAGTGGAATTCCCTTGGAAGTAATAGCAGGAAGCATTTCTGCAGATGAACTTGTTACAAGAATTCACAAAGTTCGACAGGTGAGAAGGAATAGAATTATTCTTTCTATAAATAAGAGGCACGATATACCAGGAGTTTTACATTGGGATATTTTTGAAGTTTCTGTATATTAATAAAACTACCATGTCATTAAATTTAAAAGGTAGTAAATAGTATCTTAGATGGGTTTTGAAAGTAGTGTTATGATTTTATAGGTGCCTGTACTTAGTACTTGCGTGACATTTTTTCCCCCGTGTATTCCTTCCATTTTATCTTTCTTTGTGTGTGGTTTTTTTTTTTTTTTTTTTTTTTTGAGAGGTTTTCTCTATAGGGCGCGTGCGCTCGCCAGACAGACAGAGAGAGACATAGAGACAGAAAACGAGAAATCACCCCCCCAGGGGGGATGGCCACGCCGCAATCCCTTCTCCTCCATTCTCCTCTCGGGATCTTGGGCACGCACGCACACGCGCCCGGCGTGAGTTTTAAGCTACCAGGTCCAGGACGCAAACCACGGTCGACAATGTGGGAGTCCAGCGACATAGCCATTATGCTAACTGCTGGTTCCCTATTTTGTCTTTTTAAATTTACCACTTGTGTGCCTACCAAAGAGTGCCAGCAAGCAAGAAAGGGAAAGCGAGAAAGCACCCCTCCTCCCTCCAGTGCCTTCTCCACAATCTTCCCCATTTGACATTTGGGCATGCACATGCATGTGGCCAGTGTGTTTCTCAAGCTACCAAGTCTTGGACTTGGACTATACAGTTGCCCATGTGTGATCCAACCACCTTAACCATCATGCCACCAACATTATTTTCATGTTTGTTTATTTACTTCTTTCATGAGAAAGGGAGAGATGTGTACCCTCAACTGGATCTTGTCATGCCACTACTGCCCCCTTTCCTCCCTTTATCCAGTTTTTCCAGCCATCAGGGATGATAGGTACACGTATAGGCTGACCCAGGATCTGAACATGGCTTTCAGCGTTGCAGAGTAACACCCTACTATGTTGGACCACTGAGGCCAAGCCTCAAGTGACTTACTCTCTCTTTTTTTTTTTTTCTTTTTCTTTTTCTTTTTTTGGAGAGATTTTTTTGCTTTAGGGGGTGGGCACTCACCAGACAGATAGAGAGAGCCATAGAGACAGAAAGCGAGAAATCCCCCCCCAGGGGGGATGGTCACGCTGCAATCCCTTCTCCTCCATTCTCCTCCGGGATCTTGGGCACGCACGCACACGCGCCCGGCGTGAGTTTTAAGCCACCGGGTCCGGGACGCGAACCATGGTCGACTATGTGGGAGTCCAGAGACATAGCCATTACACTAACTGCTGGTTCCCGTGACTTACTCTCTCTTACACCTCCTACCTCAATTCTTTATTTTTTTGAGGGGGGAGATTTTTGCTTTATGGCACATGTGCTTACCAGAAAGACAGAGTAAGTGAGAAGTCATTCCCCATGGGGGGTGACCATGCCACAGTCCCTTCTCCGTTCTCCTCTCAGAATCTTTAGCACATGACAAGCATGAGTTTTAAGCTGCTGGGTCTTGAACTTGAACTGCAGTTGACTAGATGGGAGTCCACTGACATAACCATCATGCCTTCTGCTGGTCTCACCTCAGTTCTTTTTAATTTTTTTTTTTCTTTTGAGAGGTTTTCGCTATAGGGCGCGTGCGCTCGCCAGACAGACAGAGAGAGACAGAGAGACAGAAAGCCAGAAATCACCCCCCAGGGGGGATGGTCACGCCGCAATCCCTTCTCCTCCATTCTCCTCTCAGGATCTTGGGCATGCACGCACACGCGCCCGGCGTGAGTTCTAAGCTACCGGGTCCGTGATGCAAACCGCGGTCGACTACGTGGGAATCCAGCGACATAGCCATTACGCTAACTGCTGGTTCCCCCACCTCAGTTCTTAACACACGTCATTACTACTTTCTCCAAGAAAGTAGCATTCAGATTAAGGTCTGAAATGTATATTGCTTAACGTATCTTATGATTTTACACTCAGTAATTTAATTTTTTATTATCTCTCTCTCTTTAGAAGAATTATTTATTTAATTTTATTTGTTATTATTATTATTATATTTGACCAGAGAGAGAGAAAAGGAAAGAAAGTAAGCTGCCAGGTCTGGGATATGAACCATGGTTGACCATGTGAGAGTCCAGTGCTTTAACCACCAAGCTACTTGCCAGCCCCCCTACTCTCAGTAATTTTTTTTTTTTTGGAGAGGTTTTTGCTCTAGGGCGCGTATGCTCACCAGACAGACAGAGAGAGACATAGAGACAGAAAGCGAGAAATCACCCCCCAGGGGGTATGGTCACGCCGCAATCCCTTCTCCTCCATTCTCCCCTCGGGATCTTGAGCATGCACGCACACGTGCCTGGCGTGAGTTTTAAGCCACCAGGTCCGGGATGCGAACCGCGGTCGGCTACATGGGAGTCCAGCGACATAGCCATTACACCAACTGCTGGTTCCCTCTCAGTAATTTCTTATTGCCATCTACTTTGGGTAAATGGCTAATATAAACTTTTAATTTTTTTCTTTGAATTAAAATATGAAGAGAAGTCAACAGTGTACCTTAAACAATCTTTTTGTGGGGCCAGACAGTGGTGTAGCAGTTAAAACTTGATATTCTATGGGACAGACTCATATGGAGGGTTGCTGGTTCATGTCGATTTGTCTACTTCCTAGATGCATTCACTAAAAGGTGAAACATCTGTGGCAAATGACAGCCAGACAGAAAGTTCAGTCTCTACTCCATCTGCCTCATATGAACCTAACAACACTTCTGAAAATTCTCCGTCCAGAGATGTTGAACTTTGTGAGATACCACCCACTTCTCCTGATACGAAGTCAGATACTGCATCAGGTAATTTTTTTTTTTTTTTAAGTTTCCTATACAGGCACATGCACTCTCCAGAGAGACAGAGACAGAAAAGGAAAGTGAGAAATCACCCCACAGGGAAGGGGATGGCCATGCCACAGTTCCTTTTCTTCCATTCTCCTCTTGGGATTTTTGGCCACGAATGCACCCAGCATGATTTTCATTTTGCTATAGGGCGTGTGCACTTGCTGGAGAGACAGAACTAGATAGCCAGAAATCACCCCCCAGGGGGTAATGGCTATGCCATAGTCCTTCTCTTCTATTCTCTTGGGATTTGGGGCACACATGCATGCGTGCCCCACTTGAAGTTTAAGCTGCTGGGTCCAGGACTCGAACCACTGACATCTATGTGGGAGTCGAGTGACATAACCATTATTCCATCTACTGGTCCCCAGCATGATTTTTAAGCTGCCAGGTATGGGACCCAAGCCACACGGTCAGCCATATGGGAATCACCCACTTTAACCACCATACCACCAGCTAAACTGAACAGTTCTGGTATTTAAAAAGATTCCTCCTTGTGTTGAGCTAAAGTTTGATGCCTTGTAAATTTCCATTAATTTTAAGGCTACTTTGTGCAGTTGCACATGATATGTTTTTGAATATTTGTAGAGTAGCCGTTGGTATTGTTCATAGTTTTACATCCACAGATATCAAATTCCTGATCTGTATAGATTGAGCGGTTCTATTATGTGGGTATAATATAATTCTATTATGTGGGTAATAAATCTACAACAGTGATATTTTTTCTTTTTTGGAGAGGTTTTTGCTATAGGACACATGCACTTGCCAGAAAGACAGAGAGACAGAAAGTGAGAAATCACTCTTCAGGGGGGATGGTCACACTACAAACCCTTCTCCTCTATTCTCTCGGGATCTTGGGCACATATGCACACGTGCCCCATGTGAGTGAATGCCACCAGGTCTGGGACGCGAACCGTGGTCGACTACACAGGAGTCCAGTGACATAGCCATTACGCTAACTGCTGGTCTCCAGAATAATTTTTTCTTAACATTTACCTAGATATTTATAATTTCCAAATTTTTATTTTTATATTTTTAATTTTACTGTGGAGTGTGTGCAGTCGACAAAGACAGAGAGAAACTGAGAAAGCATCACCCCCCAACCCCCGTGAGAGGATGGCCCTGCCACAATTCCTTCTCCACTCAAGATTTTGGGCAT